ATATATATATATATATACATATATATATTTGGAGAGCTGCGTAGTAATTCGTATGCTACTCGTACTGGCTGTCTGATAGAATGGCACAAGCTAAAACTAACTGTGATTTTGCATGCTATATATTATGATGCAACATATGATATGTCATTCCATCATAACTATGAGTGGGATGAGAGCGTTGCTACAGCATGTGCAGCATAGTAGTATAACAGCGTATGCTACCGTAAAACGGCCGCGCGAACAATACACGCACCGGTCGGCTTTCATAATTAGTTAATCATTAATTCGCCGTAGTAACGCAGGAGCAATGCTACCCGAGAGGCGCACAATAGCATTACCATCTTACTGCCTCATTACTTATTTAACAGTAGTAGATCTGTGATTTAAACGAGTGGTGGATGGGCTCAGCATCAGTTTGCGTTTAATTCTCACTCTCAGTTTGCTTATGTAATACGACTGTGTATGCAGCGTTACTCCCATAATAATCTTATCCAACCATAGCAACACCCGTTTTTTTTAGTGAGTATCACATAACCATATATCCTGGTGATATTCTAACACTATACCATGTCTCATTGATTTATACTGTGATCACATTTTAACTATACAGTATAAACCTACTTTAATCTAGACCAATAAATTGTGACCTACAATTTTGTATGATTTGACGCTATTCTACCCTAGAATAGTGTCAGATTATAAAACAAATATGTAAGGCACAATTTATTGGTCTAACTCTAACCCTACGCCATCCACATCCGATATTGTAGGAGCGGTGATACATGGTAGGGAGAGAAGTGGGAAAGGAGAAATTCAGAGAAGGAGAGGGGAGAGAATGCGAGAGAAAAAAAGAGATAGAAAGATTGAAGGGAAGCGAAAGATGGGGCGAGCGAATGAAAGAACGAAAGAGAGTGAGAGATAAATAAAAAGAAGGAAGGAAAGGGATTGCGAAAAGGGGAAAAATAACGTGAGAAAGAGGGAGGGAGCGAGGGAGAAAACGCGAGCGAGCGAGGGAGCAAGTGTGTGATCGGGAGCGAGAGAAAAATAGAGCGATAAAAAGAGAAACAGATATATAGATAAATTGAGAGAGAGCGCGCGAGCGCAGGAGATGGAGAGATAGATAGATAGATAGATAGATAGATAGATAGATAGATAGATAGGTAGATAGATATATAGATTGAGAGAGAGAGAGAGAGAGAGAGAGAGAGAGAGAGAGAGAGAGAGAGAGAGAGAGAGAGAGAGAGAGAGGAGAGAAAGGAGAGATAGCAATGTAAGACACCTGACCATTACACGTACCTTCTTACTGCTGGAGCCTCTCGCTCCTTTAGGTTTCTCGGTCACTGTCATCCTTCTCGGTCACACTACGCGCTCATCACTACTCCGATATAATTCTCAATCGGCGATCGATCAGTATCGTATCGACCCGTCTTCGATCCACGTTCGATCAGTAAACGTCGGACGGTCAATCTCGAAGTTATATGGACGGTAGCATGTGTGATGTGTTGGCAGACAGATACGACGGTGGTAATGGCGTGGCACGTATGCAGGCAACTGAGCGACATCTGGGCCAGTCTGTCTACTGACCCGGATCGGCGCGTTGCTGGGGCGCTTGCAGAGCTAGTATATAGACGATACAATCAAACTAGTCCTGCCAGTAGCAGTTACAGGTAGCTTGCCGGCGGGCACAGACGCTAGCTGGTACATTGACATGCAGTGACCGGCGCTGGCCATATATAGGTGGGCGACTGATGAGGATGATGGCGGCTGCGGTGATGGCGGCTGCGGTGATGGCGGCTGCGGTGATGGCGATGATGATGATACTTATGATATTGATGATGACGATGGTGATGATGATTTTGGTGATGAAGAAGGGGAAGAAGAGTAAAATGATGATGATGACGCCACTACTGCTAATGATGATGATGATGTTGAATATATAGTCGTCGTGATAGCGGCACAACGCAAAACATACACGCACGCATACACAATACACACACGCACACACTAGTTGAGCGCTGTCGCTCTGCGGCACTTGTTTTGTATTGTATGAATAAATTGCGCGATTTATGGTGTAGACTGAGGAAGCTTCTCGAGTACAAGCCTCGCATTGCCCTTGGGTCCCTAATTTACGTGGTCCAGTCTCACACGGAGTCCCGCTGGTGGCAGAATGGAGGATCGGGTGAGGATGTTGGAGGAGGAGTTAGCGAAGGCCAAATTGGTGGAGGGCACACTTAGGGCTGTGTGCCAGCGTGGGCCGGGGTATGCTGCTCCCTCCCAACGTGTGCAACTGTTCCGGGACCGTCAGGAGAATGGGTTGGGGACATGCGGGCTCAATTAGCCACCCATAAAGGCACCCAGGAGGACAGGGTGGCAGTGGTCCTCCAGCACCTGGGGGGCAGGGCCCGCATGGAGGTGAGTGGTCGTCGAGGGGTAAGCGAAGATGCTGATAAGATCTTCGAAGTGCTGCTGGCAACCTTCGGAGATGCAGACCACCAATCTCTGCCGAGGCTCCAGCAGCGATTCTTTTCGTACCAGCAGAAAGGGAGCCATGACCTGCTTGGCTGTTCACTGGGGCTGGTCCGATTGAGCAATCAGATCACCGCTATGGATGGATCATGGGAGGCCTCCAGAGACATCACTCTGAAAAGGAGGCTGGCAGAGTCAGTCCAGGAGGAGGGCTTGCAACGGGAATTAAGGCGCCTCAACCTCGAGTCCCCAGCCCTGACCTATTTCAAGTTGCGGGACCGGGCGATACAGTGGCTGGGCACCAGCCGTGGCAAGGGCCGTCACAGTGTTGCTATGGACCAAGAGGTCGCCTCTGAGGCTGTCGACTCAGTGGTGGCTGCTATCAAGCAACAAGGCGACCAGTTAGCTGAAGTATTAAAGCAGCAGCAGCAGTAAATGTCTGTCATGATGGATATGCTGCGGCAACAGGCGAGTGGGGGTCGACCTGTCAACAGGGGCCCACGGCGCCAGTATGGGGCTGACAAGAGTCCCATGCTTTGTTGGAGTTGCCAGTCCCTGGGCCATATTCAAAGGAACTGCCCAGATAAGGGGAATGGGCCGGTGGGGCAACCCCAGGTTTCCAGACAAATTTGTCAGAAAACTAAAGTCGCCTGTTGCAGTGAGCTGTGCGGCAGGCTGTGAGTCCGTGGAAACGGACAGGGTAGGCTCACTTTTAGAAAAGGCAGTAGGAGAGTGCCCCGAGGCCCTAGTTAAGATAGCTGGGGCGGAGATGAAATGTTTACTGGACACAGGAGCTCAGGTTTCCACGGTAACGGAATCATTCTTCCGTGAGCAACTGAGCAACGACGAGCATCCCAAGGATGTGACCGATTTCATCTCTATTTCTGGTGCCCAGGGCTTGAAAGTCCCCTACCGAGGCTATATAGAACGTGACCTTGAGATCTGCGGGCATACCTTCCACACGATGGGGCTCCTGGTAGTGTGCGACCCAAAAGGGACCCCCATGGAGAATCGGAAGCGGTTAGTTCTGGGGGTAATTGGGAGTAACATCCTGCGAAGAATGCGGACAGCTCTCAAGGAGAATTGGGGCGAGACCTATCTTAAGGATTTGACAGACTCCAGCCGAGTATATGGGAGCCACTGGGTTCATGTCCTTGCCTTATATGGAGCAATCCAAACTAAGGCAGAAGCTGACCACGCTGAACCAAGCACCTCCAGGGTAAGGGTAGCTGGTAGAGGGCCACAGCTGATACCAGCCCGGTCAGTGAAGATACTGGAGGGCACGTGCATGGCTGCTATAGAAGAGCACCTCGTAATAGTAGAGCACCAGGAGGAAATACTACCAGCCCTTCCTACGGGCCTCGCTGTGGGCAGGACTTGCTCCCAACTAGGCCGTTCAGGATGCGTCCCGATACAGGTGACCAACTGGAGTGGCAGCGACCTCTATTTAAATTCACGGATGCCTGTGGGCATCGTGGAACCGGTCACGCTGAACCCCAAGCTAAGGATCCATTCCGTGAGTTCA